ATAAATAGATAGGTAGAGAGATACACAGACAGATAGTCAGATATATAACTAAATTGTTACATGGAAAGACAGATTGATGAATGGCTAGGTAGACAGATAGATAAATAGAGAGGTTTATAAATAGAAAAAAAATAGCCAAAACAAATAGATAGACAGACACATAAATAGAGAGATTTATAAATAGAGAAAAGAATAGCCAAAACAAATAGATAGGCAGACAGATAAATAAAGAGGTTTATAAAAAAAAAATAGCCAAAACAAATAGATAGACAGACACATAAATAGAGAGATTTATAAATAGAGAAAACAATAGCCAAAACAAATAGATAGACAAACATAAATAGAGAGATTTATAAATAGAGAAAACAATAGCCAAAACAAATAGATAGACAAACATAAATAGAGAGATTTATAAATAGAGAAAAGAATAGCCAAAACAAATAGATAGATAAACAGACACATAAATAGAGAGATTTATAAATAGAGAAAAGAATAGCCAAAACAAATAGATAGATAAACAGACACATAAATAGAGAGATTTATAAATAGAGAAAGGAATAGCCAAAACAAATAGATAGATAAACAGACACATAAATAGAGAGATTTATAAATAGAGAAAAGAATAGCCAAAACAAATAGATAGACAGACAATAGATAAAAAGAGAAGATACAGAAATAGATATATACAAGCAAATCCACAGCCATCCACGGATACAACATACTCCAGACTACTAAGTGTTGACACAGCAAAGAAATAAAACAAATGGGGGAGTTAGGGAGTAGGGGGAGGAGTAGGAGGAGGAAGGGGAGGAGGAAGGGGAGGAAGAGGAAGGGGAGAAGGGGGAGGAGGAGGAGGAGGAGGAAGCGGAAGAGGAGGAAGGGGAGAAGGGGGAGGAGGAGGAGGAGGGGGAGGAGGAGGAGAAGGGGGAGGAGGAGGAGGAGGGGAGGAGGAGGAGAAGGGGAGGAGGAGGAGAAGGGGAGGAGGAGGAGAAGGGGGAGGAGGAGGAGAAGGGGAGGAGGAGGAAGAGAGGAGGAAGGGGGAGGAAGGAGGAGAGGGGGAGGAAGGGGGAGGAAGGGGAGGAGGAGGAAGAGAGGAGGAAGGATAGAAGGGGGAGGAAGGGGAGAAGGGGGAGAAGGAGGAGGAAGCGGAAGAGGAGGAGGAAGAGAGGAGGAAGAGGTTTACACAATGAGGTTTGTTTACATA